GTTACCGGTCCGCGGACCGGCGGTTGGGGACCCCTGTATTACACGATGCTATTGATGTAAATATGTACAGTTTATTTGATCGTGTTGCAACTATGCCTGTTGGAGTTTTAATGTTTTTAGATGATTGAAAAAAAAAAACCTAAAACAGGAAGTGGCACTCTACTTTCACATGCCCAAACAAAATGCACTGTGTTGTAACATATTTAGCAACAGGCTGTACTGGAGATATTGTCTTTTTTTTTTTAAACTTTCAATGCACATTTCCCTTTCAGCCTTTCCTCTATTTAAGCAGCATGTCAGCATGACCTCAGTCAGTTCAGCGGAGCGCTCATTGAAGTCGCACAACATTCACAGCCTATCCTAGCTGTCTTAGAGCAGTAGGTATACCCTGAACTGGTTGCCAGCCAATCGCAGAAATACAATTACATGAATGGACAGACAGATGTTAACATCATCGTAAACGAATGGACAAATAAGGGTGTCGGAATTTCTTGAGAGTGGACAGACAGATGTTGACATAATGTCTGTATGTGAATGGCGGCGGTGTTAACGCCTTGTTAAATATTGCCGATGTGACGTAATCTTCAATTATAGGTAAATAAAACTCACCCATTTGGCTCTCCCAACACAATAGAGAGTCCTCCAGTCTCTGATTGCTCTTCAGTTACTGATACTTTAACTCAGAAAGTACTGGAAGTAACTGGTTGAGTACAGTTGCTGCTTTAAATAGCAGCATGCGTATCTATTACACCAGGGGTCCCCAACCTTTTTTGCCCCACGGACCGGTTTAAGTCAGACAATATTTTCAGGGACCGGCATTTAAGGGGTGGCGAATTAATACAACAAAATAATATGGTATGAGCTGCATGAAAACTGTGGTGTTTTCGAAATATAATAATAAACACAAGGAGCGTATTATCTGGTCGCAACGCTCTTAACGCTATGGTAATGTTTAATGCCTTCAAAATACGATACAACGCAAATTCAAAGTGCATGAAAATGACGACTCACCACAGCCCCGAGCTTGATTTTCTGCAATCAGACAGTCCCATCTCGGGGTAATAGGAGACAATGACACCT